TAGACGGGTAGCTGGGATAGACGGTTAACTGGGGGTAGACGGGTAGGTGTAGACGGGTAGCTGGGGTAGACGGGTAGCTGGGGTAGACGGGTAGCTGGAGTAGACGGGTGGCTGGGGTAGACGGGTAGCTGGGGTAGACGGGTAGCTGGGGTAGACGGGTAGCTGGGGTAGACGAGTAGCTGGGGTAGACGGGTAGCTGGAGTAGACGAGTACCTGGGGTGTACGGTAGCTGGGGTAGACGATTTACTGGGGTAGACGGGTAGCTGGGGTAGACGGTAGCTGGGGTAGACGGGTAGCTGGGGTAGACGGTAGCTGAGGTAACGGTAGCTGGGGTAGACGGGTAGCTGGGGTAGAGGGTAGCTGAGGTAGACGGGTAGCTGGGGTAGACGGGTAGCTGGGGTAGACGGGTAGCTGGGTAGACGGGTAGCTAGGTAGACGGTAGCTGGGTAGACGGGTGGCTGGGGTAGACGGTAGCTGGGTAGACGGGTAGCTGGGGAGACGGGTAGCTGGAGTAGACGGGTAGCTGGGGTAGACGGGTAGCTGGGGTAGACGGGTAGCTGGGGTAGACGGGTAGCTGGGGTAGACGGGTAGCTGGGTAGACGGGTAGCTGGGGTAGACGGGTAGCTGGGGTAGACGGGTAGCTGGGGTAGACGGGTAGCTGGGGTAGACGGGTAGCTGAGGTAGACGAGTAGCTGGGTAGACGGGTAGCTGGGGTAGACGGGTAGCTGGGGTAGACGGGTAGCTGAGGTAGACGAGTAGCTGGGGTAGACGGGTAGCTGGGGTAGACGGGTAGCTGGGGTAGACGGGTAGCTGAGATAGACGAGTAGCTGGGGTAGACGGGTAGCTGGGGTAGACGGGTAGCTGGGGTAGACGGGTAGCTGGGGTAGACGGGTAGCTGGGGTAGACGGGCAGGAAGCGAGAGCCACACAATACAACATACAAATAAGAGTCTACAATCTTTAAGGCCCAACTCGTCTATTTTTACGACACCTGTGTAAAAGCAGAGGATTACAATGGTGAGCCTGGGGCGGGGAGTGCAGGTGTGGGGGCTGCAGGTGTGGGGGCTGGAAGTGTGGGACTGTAGTGTGGGTGGCTGCAGGTGTGAGACTGCAAGCATGGGACTGCAGGTGTGGGTGGCTGCAAGTGTGGTGATGCAGTGTGGGGTGCAGGTGTGGGTGGCTGCTAGTGTGGGGGCTGCAAGTTTGGGACTACAAGTACGGGGCTGCAGGTGTGGGTGGCTGCAGGGGTGGGTGGCTGCAGGTGTGGGACGCTACAGGTATGGTGAGGTAATGCAGGTGTGGAACTGAAGGGAGTCAGGGGCTGCAGATGTGGGAAACGGGTAGGGTCTGTAGTTTGTGTGAACATGTATCCTGCAACCCTCACTGTCTCAACATGTATCCTGCTACCCTCACTGTTGTCTCAACATGTATCCTGCTACCCTCACTGTTGTCTCAACATGTATCCTGCTACCCTCACTGTTGTCTCAACATGTATCCTGCTACCTTCACTGTTGTCTCAACATGTATCCTGCTACCCTCACTGTTGTTTCAACATGTATCCTGCTACCCTCACTGTTGTCTCAACATGTATCCTGCTACCCTCACTGTTGTCTCAACATGTATCCTGCTACCCTCACTGTTGTCTCAGTATGTATCCTGCAACCCTCACTGTCTCAACATGTATCCTGCTACCCTCACTGTTGTCTCAACATGTATCCTGCTACCCTCACTGTTGTCTCAACATGTATCCTGCTACCTTCACTGTTGTCTCAACATGTATCCTGCTACCCTCACTGTTGTCTCAACATGTATCCTGCTACCTTCACTGTTGTCTCAACATGTATCCTGCTACCCTCACTGTTGTTTCAACATGTATCCTGCTACCCTCACTGTCTCAACATGTATCCTGCTACCCTCATTGTTGTCTCAACATGTATCCTGCTACCCTCACTGTTGTCTCAACATGTATCCTGCTACCCTCACTGTTGTCTCAGTATGTATCCTGCAACCCTCACTGTCTCAACATGTATCCTGCTACCCTCACTGTTGTCTCAACATGTATCCTGCTACCCTCACTGTTGTCTCAGTATGTATCCTGCAACCCTCACTGTCTCAACATGCATCCTGCTACCCTCACTGTTATCTCAACACGTATCCTGCTACCCTCACTGTTATCTCAACATGTATCCTGCTACCCTCACTGTTGTCTCAACATGTATCCTGCTACCCTCACTGTTGTCTCAACATGTATCCTGCTACCCTCACTGTTCTCAACATGTATCCTGCTACCCTCACTGTTGTCTCAACATGTATCCTGCTACCCTCACTGTTGTCTCAACATGTATCCTGCTACCCTCACTGTTGTCTCAACGTGTATCCTGCTACCCTCACTGTTGTCTGAACATGTATCCTGCTACCCTCACTGTTGTCTCAACGTGTATCCAGCTACCCTCACTGTTGTCTCAACATGTATCCTGCTACCCTCACTGTTGTCTCAGTATGTATCCTGCAACCCTCACTGTCTCAACATGCATCCTGCTACCCTCACTGTTATCTCAACACGTATCCTGCTACCCTCACTGTTATCTCAACATGTATCCTGCTACCCTCACTGTTGTCTCAACATGTATCCTGCTACCCTCACTGTTGTCTCAACATGTATCCTGCTACCCTCACTGTTCTCAACATGTATCCTGCTACCCTCACTGTTGTCTCAACATGTATCCTGCTACCCTCACTGTTGTCTCAACATGTATCCTGCTACCCTCACTGTTGTCTCAACGTGTATCCTGCTACCCTCACTGTTGTCTGAACATGTATCCTGCTACCCTCACTGTTGTCTCAACGTGTATCCAGCTACCCTCACTGTTGTCTCAACATGTATCCTGCTACCCTCACTGTTGTCTGAAAATGTATCCTGCTACCCTCACTGTTGTCTGAAAATGTATCCTGCTACCCTCACTGTCTCAACATGTATCCTGCTACCCTCACTGTTGTCTCAACGTGTATCCAGCTACCCTCACTGTTGTCTCAACATGTATCCTGCTACCCTCACTGTTGTCTGAAAATGTATCCTGCTACCCTCACTGTCTCAACATGTATCCTGCTACCCTCACTGTTGTCTCAACATGTATCCTGCTACCCTCACTGTTCTCAACATGTATCCTGCTACCCTCACTGTTGTCTCAACATGTATCCTGCTACCCTCACTGTTGTCTCAGTATTAGAGACTTTTCGCAGCCTCTGCTAAATCTCTTGTTTTCATACGGAGCGATTCCGGTTTGCATGTTGGCAACTAGTCCCTTCAGGGTTTTCCAGGTACAAATTATGATGTACCTTTCTCGCCTACGTTCCGAGGAATACACTTCAGGGTACTTCAAACATTCCCAGTAGTTTAGATGTTTCACTGAATAAATATTGGCGGTGAAAGGTCTCTGTAAGTTTTCTAGTTCAGCAATCTCGTTTGTCTTGAAAGAAACTGTTAGTATACAGGAGTATTCCTGCCTGGAGAGAACAGGTGACTTGAAGAGTATCATCACTGGCTCACCATCTCTTTGTCTGGAAAGTTCTAGTTGTGAGGCCTACAACTTTCCCTGCGCTAGCAATAGCAACCCTGATGAATTTGCTGTGTCCTTTGAATGTGAGATCTTCTGACGTCATCATTCCCATGTCTCACACATGGAATATTCACTTTACTGAATGATTTGAATTATTTCCTCTATTGTTCCATAGCGAAGCAACCGGGTAATGAGCAGTAATCAGCTTCGATACGACAGAAATCTCTCTCTCTGTCTCTCTCTCTCTCAAGTGGATGTTTGGTGGACTCTTGTTCCCTCCAGTACTGGTGGTTAATACACTGGTGATTGTATATGTGATTCCCCAGAGTGAATGTCCTAGTGAGTGTCCCACTACCTCGTATTTTTCCTGGTCCACTTGCTGTTTTCCGACGTTTGTCTCTCTCTCCTTTTGAATTCGCTTCTCTCTCCAAAAAAATCGTGTTGTATTTTCCGTGTACTCGTATTTTTTTGGATTTACATTTCAGTAAAGTTTTGAAGCTTTAACATGGATCACAGCACTGCGTTATCTTGTGTGACGCCTTGCACAACTCACCGTGAAAAACACAGCATTTATTTTCATAACGACAATATCCCATTTTTCGAATATTCACGCACTTCCTGGAGCGTGTATCTGCATTTATTCCATTCTGTTATTTCCAAGTTTCCATATTTGCTTGAACCTTAGTATAGTATTTACATAAATTTATGTTTAAGTGTTTTTCTGTGAGTGTTTTATGTTTGTTTGAGTGTGTGTGACGAGCGTGCAACACAAACCAGAACGTTGCAACACTGCATTACTTCTATTTGTAATAAGTATCAGATCAGTCAGGTTCTGATGGCTATGGAGGCCTGCAGGCCGCTGGCAGCAGGCAACAGGCCTCAGGCTGGGCTTCGGGAATCCCCGAACTCTCAAAACTGTCACAGGTATGATACAGGCTTATACATTATTGCTGTGAAGATACAAACTGTGTAATATGTAAGACTAGTATGTGCATCATGACCTCCCCTGTTCGTCTACTTGTAGTCGATCCCTTGACTCATCGTCCCAGTGGCCCACTCCCTGACCAGAACTCCTGGGTGATGGCCTCGTCAATTAGGCTGTTGGTGCTAGCTGCACACAGTCCAACCTATGATTCACAGTCCGGCTGCTCAGGATCCGCTGATAATTTCCTTTATGTATGAAAAAATGGTATTGAAAAATGTTGGTCCATATAAACTTAATGGCTATGACATAATGTCCACCAGCACCTCATTAACTTTAAAAAAAATCCTGACCCGATTACTGCTTAACAAAATATACCAGTATACCACACATATGCAGTGTCCCTGCTGGAATAACTCAACTATTAAATACAATGACTACGGAAAAGCAAAGCCTTACCCAGATGCATATTTATTCATGAAGGTGTGAAAATGTTAGAGTGCATATGAAATAAAGACTTACATGACAGAGGTGGTAGTTGGTGTGAGCGTAGCGTGGTGGGTGTAGGCGTGGCGGATGTGGGCGTGGCAGGTGTAGGAGTTGCAGGTGTGAGCGTGACAGGTGTCGGCGTTCTGTGGTTAACAGAAGAGACCATCTTCATTTCAATCCTCCATCACACACCACACAAATGCTCTTGGTGATCTGATACACTGGTGATCTCCAGTGACCTTCAGTACCATCTAGAGCGTCCACACTTGTTTCAGTTATTGTCATTAACACTGAAAGCGTCCATAATTGTTCCAGCTATCGTCAATAATACTGAGAGCGTCTATACTAGTTCCAGGGGCCTTCAGTAACACTGACTGTTCACACTAGTTCCAGAGACCGTCAGTAACACTGTTCACACTAGTTCCAGAGACCGTCAGTAACACTAACAGTGTTCACACTAGTTCCAGAGACCGTCAGTAACACTGACTGTTCACACTAGTTCCAGAGACCGTCAGTAACACTAACAGTGTTCACACTTGTTCCAGAGACCGTCAGTAACACTAACAGTGTTCACACTTGTTCCAGAGACCGCCAGTAACACTGACATCCACACAGCATTGTACAATATTTGTTTTTAACAATCCAAGACAAATATTTTTAACATCACGATCTGTACCACTTAAATTGGTGTTCGTTGTACATATAAACACGTTCACTTTTTGTATATTACAAAACATTAACACTGTCACACATACACTAACTCAAATGTTCTACAAGTATTTACACTAGTTACTCCGATAAGTGTACGTGGTAAGAAAGTTTGCGTTGGATAAACGTGTTTAGGGCACCAAGTTCCTGGGGTCGGTGAGACTAGTACTGTCAGTAAAGCTCAAGGAATACTTTTGATTTTTGTTAAGGGCGCCTCTGTAACATAAGCACACACCACTACATGGTTGGGATGGGAGGACCCGGGGTAAGCACAGGGGCACACAGGATATATACACGAGTATATGTATGAGACATGTATGTCTCAGTGTATATACACGGAGACATGTATGCCTTAGTGTATATATATTGAGACATGCATATCTCAGTGTATATACATGTAAACATGTCTTAATGTAAATACGGTCAGAGTTAAATCTCATTTTTTAGAAATAAAATTTTTTTGACTGGTGCAGCCTTATTGCATCTTTAATTAATGACTCTCATATAACTGATATACTTTAAACCCAATTAACCTACCAAACTACAGAGGTAGGCAGCCACTCTCACAGTGCTCTGACAGCCGCTCGCTCTACTAAAGTTGTGTACGGTTCGTCGCCGGTAACAAAACAACAAACGTAACTAACGGTGACATCTGGCAGTAGGTGATACAAGTTATATAATTCGTTGAAAATATACGCTAGTTATGTTGAAAATGGTATAAAATACCGACAAGTTGATGATTAAGACACATGTGCAACAATTAGATATCTCTAGTGAGAAGAGTTTAGCTTCATGTAGCTGAACTTTTCTCCAGGCTGAGAAACTGAACACCTCTAATACTATTTATCCAAGGCTGGTGGACTGATTACATCATATTCATTTCACTACTGTGTAGACGAAACGTTTCAACACTAAAGATGCCCAACTGTTACACACGTGTCTTAATTATCATACACTATTATGTAAGATTCGATGTAAAAAAAATTCAGGATCATTCGATCAATATCTGTCTTGAGCGAAGAGCCACACAATTCAAATGACTCGCCGAACTGCATTATCCCACCCCACCCCTTCAGGGTAAAGACACTGTACCTCCCATCTCCAGGACTCAAGACTGACGAGAACCTAAACTCCAGTTAGGACTCCAAATACCGAATAGTCTTATTTCCAACATTGTAGTCTAAAAATACAAGATATAGTCTTCTTTCTCTAGAAGGTTCTTATCGTAACATTCTTGTCGTTCCTAGAATGTTATTTTTTCCCGACGTTGCTGCCACCAGATCCATTGCATTCTTCTACCTTTTCGATTACATTTTTAGATTTTGCCGCCGAAGCGGCTAATTTACTATGATCCCCATTTCCCTCCTGTGGACGGTAGCACAAAAGCATATGGATATATAAAAGGCCTAGGAACTAAGGCCCTAAAAAGGGTTAGCAAGAGTACTACCATATGTACTACTAAGTAGCCAAGCCTAAGTCTGGCTACTATATAACATCAGTCAGTCTACACTGCATGTTGCTCTGTAAATATGCTTGTCTACGCTCAACAATAACTCACATGGAGACAGAAACTCAGAAGATTGACTGATCTGTATATTTTGACCCCCTTCTCGGAACCTCTTCTGCTGAAGAGGCTCCTAGACTGGGGTCGAAATATACAGATGAATCAATTTTTCTGAGCTTTTGTCTCGATATGGGTAATTACTGAGCAGTGATAAGTGTTCTACTCTTTAGTTATTCATGCTTTTCTACGTTTATGTTTTGCTATTATGATAAAAACAAATAAATTAGTGGACAAACAAAGAATGACAGTGGAGAGAAAGGCAAGGCAATAACTCCTGCAGAATCTAACATACAAACTGTGAGAAAGCAAGAAATATAATGGATGAAGTAAGGTTAATTGTATCAGCGGGAAACATAAATGAAACACAGATGTCACTCCAGTCAGCGAATCCTGATTCAGGATGAAAAACAGGGATATGTTTGTTGAGTGCCGCATACTGGGTTACAAATTGTTCCACAATCATCAACAGGAGAGGGAGCAGAGTTCCTATGCATGTCAGGGATAATTTATACTGTAGAATCGGAAATTATAAAAATGCAAGAGGGAGATATAGGGAATCTATTTGGAAGCAGTTTCTCGAAGGGCGTGAAAAACTGACTGTAATTGTGATTCACAGACCTTCAAATCTAAATAATGGTCATGATAAACTTCGATGAGACGATACTGTTAAGGTGTCTAGGTACGAAAATGTAGTTTTAAAAGGAGATTTTAAATTCAGACAAATTTATTTGACTGATTTGACAAGAAATCTAAAGTCCAACGACTTTCTATGAACAGTAAACTTTTCAATTCGCTCGTGTTCTCTCATTTGGAATATTGCTCAGTGTTGACGGCCCTGTTCATGGCAGAAGAAATATCATAGCCTGAACAAATACAGAGATCGTTTACGGTGCGCACTGAGCCAACAAAGCATTTAAATTACTGGGAACGCCTTAAAGTCTTAAATATGTACTCAATGGAGCAGGGAAAGAGAGATACATGGCAATATACACCTGGAAAGTACTTGACGGTCTTGTCCTAAATCTGCATATTGATATAACAACATCCTGAGGTAAGAAATATGGCAGGAAGTGCAAAATAAACCCAGTTAAAAGCAGAGGTGCAGTGGGAACAATAAAGAAACACTATATCAACGTCCGTGGCCCCAGATTATTCAACATCTTACCAAAATATATCAGAAACACTGCCGAGGAAAGTGAATATTTTAAAAACCTTTATATCTGTATTTATTTCCTTCTAGACATTTACTAAGAACTGGAGTAAAAATATTCGGTTCATTTTATCTATCGCTGTGTTTTGTTCACTGTTGTTGTTTTATGGGGTGACTCTTGTTCTTGCTTACCGTTCTATTTGAGTTCCTAATTATTTTTCCATATCTGAGCAACTGGATTTTGTCTCCTTAGAATATCTTGCTATTTTTCAGTCACTCACTGGAAGACTTTGTTTATATCCTCTTGTAACTTTTTGGTGTTCTTTACTGAGGTGACTTTCATCTGAAGAGGATGCTGCAAAACTGTGGTTCATGTTCATATCTATGTTTGTTATGAGAATGAGAAACAGGAGTGGCGCCAGGACTGTGCCTTGTGGTACTGAGCTTTTTACATTTCTAAGGCTAGATTTTGCCTTGTTTACTACTGCTGTTTTGTGTTCTCTTTGTTAGAAAATTGCAACTCCATATGCCTACTTTTCCTATTATACTCAATGATCTATTTTATGTATTAATACTCCATGATCGCATTTGTAAAAATGTCAGAGTCAAGTCCATATACACTATGTTTGCATCAAGGCAATCTTCCATAACCCTTATTTCTTCACAGTGATCCAGTAGTTGTAATAAGCAATATTTCACTGTTCTAAATCCAGTTCTATTGGGTTATACAGGTCATATTTTTCCATAAAATTTATAACTTGACATCGCACCACCATCTCAAAGATTTTTATTATGAGCGTAGTTAGTGGGAGCGGCAGTATATACATCAGCATGAGCCAGGTGATCACTCAGGCAAAGAGAGAATCGCCAACAAGATCGCTACCCGGATAATATCGACTGCTTGGTTATCTTAGCGTGTTATCAGTTAGTTCCGGCCGACATGTAATAGTGACCCCTGACAGCTGACTCGCCACCTCCCACAAAATTTGTCACGACCACCGCAAATATCTTCACCAGGTGTCACATCAACCAGACTGTGATGGATATGTGGGTCAACGGGCTACAAGTAGCAACAACTTGGATGGCCAGGCAAGCACCAGACGAGCCTGACCCATGGCCGGTCTCTGGGACTTTGAACTCATCAAAGGTATATCAAAGGTACCCTGGCACTACCGCCAGCTACCCGGCTACTACCATCAGCTACCCTGGCACTACCACCAGCTACCCGACTACTACCATCAGCTACCCTGGCACTACCACCAGCTACCCTGGTACTACCACCAGCTACCCTGGCATTACCACCAGCTACCCCGGTACGACCACCAGCTACCCCAGCACTACCACCAGCTACCCCGGCACTACCACCAGCTACCCTGGCACTACCACCAGCTACCCTGGTACTACCGCCAGCTACCCCGGTACTACCACCAGCTACCCTGCTACTACCACCAGCTACCCTGGCACTACCACCATCTACCCTGGCACTACCACCATCTACCCTGGCACTACCACCAGCTACCCTGACATTACTACCAGCTACCCTGGCACTACCACCAGCTACCCTGGCACTAAAACCAGCTACCCTGGCACTACCACCAGCTACCCTGGCACTACCACCAGCTACCCTGGCATTACCACCAGCTACCCTGGCACTACCACCACTACCCTGGCACTACCACCAGCTACCCTGGCACTACCACCCGCTACCTGGCATTACACCAGACTACCCTGGCACTACCACCTAGCTA